TAGGTGCGTTTCTTTAAGTCTTCCTACCAACATGACCGAGTTGCGAAAACAAGGTCAAACAACTTCTTTTAGTTGAATATAGTTCTTGCTCAAAATCGTCTGGTAGTTTCGAAGCCTACTCAAAATGAATGTAAATAATTTAGCCCTTCTGGAGGGTATTGAGAAAGCGTAGGCGAGGTCGGAACTGCAGTCTACTCTGGTTGGGAACACCTTTCGGGAAAGCAGGGCTATATGAAATTTATTGGTTCGTCAGGTTTACTGATATCATTGTAGGAAATAGGGTGAATACATCTCACATTAGTTGTTTTGTTAAGTTCTATCCATTCTCTAATCTTAAATGGGGATATGAAGCCGCTATATCCTGCTGAACACTGTATTTTGGATCATTATATCACTTGTCCTGTATCAGCCATTTGCTCAGCTAGTTCAGATTATTGAACTCATAGACCCTTACATGCGGGATGGTTGGCTCCACAGGTCTCTCTCAAATATAACTTATCAGGAGCACAAAACCTTGTAACATCATGATCTAGAAGGAGGGCCTGGAAAATTTCCAGTGAGGAAGATATCCGTCTAGCTTCGACGAAAATGTGGATTCGAGAAAAAGAGTAGCAGCGACGTTTTTCGTCAACATCAAGCTTTTGTAGGAAATGAACAAACAAATGGAAAATGTAGGTGCTTGCAATTGGACCCAAACTGAGAAAATCTCGGCCTTTTGACCTTGTAGTATATGCTCACCAACTTATTCGAGGCCTGTTGAGAAACTGTAATAAGCCAGAAATACTAGCTAAATTAACGTCCAAATGTCCAGCGCATCTGGACTTCTGGCTTGGCCAAAATGTTTACGACGAAGTGATGTAAAATAGTGAAGTTAGCCATGACAAGTTTTATCTCTTAGAGGCTTGGCATTACTTACAAACACCATCGCTTGGATTCGGATGAACTCTATGTTTATCTTACGCTAGATCACCATCTGCCATTCCTAATCATGGTGTCGTATGATGCGAAGCAGCTTGTATAATACCGGTCTCAGGATCGGATAATAGGGCTTCACGTTCTCCTTCACTCCTCTCAGACACTTGTTGTCTCTTAACTTTCACAAGTTTTGCTGGATAGGCTTAGAGTGCCATTAATTGTCGATCATGCTTGTGAAATCTCTTCTTCCACTTGTCCGAACTCAGTTTGCCCTATCTTCATACCTAATTTCCATGTCAAATAATCATTTTGTCTGACCACACCTCTTTTTATCTTATATGTTTTCAATAAATCGCTCGAATATCTCCTTCAAATATATTTAATCGGGAGTAACCAGTTTTACCATCGGTTTCTTAGCTCGCCTGCAGCGCTACTTGATCCCGATTGGTTCCTCTATTTGATAGTCTGTTATGCAAAATTTGTATCAGTTCGACCCTTTCCGACATGGAAGTCTTTGATTTTTATTATTAATTATTTATACAAAATTTGTTTGATAAGACGGATTTATATAACAGCAGCATGTTCCAGGTAATAGATGTTCGCTCTACTGGTTTGCCGAAGTGAGGTACCAATTGGGGTCAGGAAGTCCTGCAAACGGGGAATAAAAACCAGGGCGTAAGCGTTTGCACCTCATTAAAGCAACCTAAAGCTGGACACTGAAGTTATACTGAAACAAACTAGGAGACTTAGTTGGGCACATTAATCATATGAAATTGTTTGACGTTGTGTTCGCAACTTGGTCATGTTGCTAGGACGACCTAGAGGAACGCACCTAGTCCGGAGTCCATAATATTCATCATAATTCATAGAGTCAGATCTTGGATGCTTTACATTCCCGGACGTTTCGCCGGCATCGAAGTCAACATCGTCATTGAGCTCTGCCAATCTTAGCACCGCACTACATCTCGTCAGAGACAAGTGAAGCATATCCTTTGACCAATTTTGTGCTAAACAATTGTGGTATCTCTCTTTCTGCTCTTGACTATTAACAAATTCTATATCCTTGTATCACCCATTCACTATCACAATTTCTGTGTGATTTCTTGGTTCAGGTATTTCACTCGACCCCTGCCATCCTATCTGTACTACTCGAAGCGTTATTTCCCACACTTTCTCAAGCCTTTGATGACACACCTACTCCCGCCTCACTAAGTAGGCTCCTAAAAAGTTGCTCGATTGGAGAATAACTTTAGTCTAAAAAGTCCAAATAATTCTCATAGTCAAGCCTTGGCTTTATGAACCACGTCTATGATCAAACGCTTTTACTATTAGCCAACTAGCTATAATCTCCGCCGCGTCTATCTTGCTTCCTTCCATTGTGCCAAGTCTATGATTTCCTATGCCCTAGTTTCTTGTGTACCAACCCACAAATGTTGTAGTTTTATTTGTTTTGATTAGGCCACACAATCTTGGTCTTTTATACCTTTGACCATATGAATTTGGATTGGGGCATATAGATAGAGTGAAATGAACTAAGCTAGAGGGAAGAGTAATGCCGTATTCGTTAAACAGAAAATTAGTTTTGGCTTATTGCTAAGGCGATCACTGACCAGGTCATACCGACAACGATGGTGTTGAAACCTATCATGACTATTTTAATAGAGGACACAGTAGTGGTCACGTTTTTCTTGCTTATTGAGTCGAGAAACGAGATTAAGTCATATGTCTTTCCACAATGTCTCGAGCGCAGTGTCAACGAGAATGTTCCAATAAAGATAACCTCGACTGGCTAATAGGAATTTGTTTTCTTTTATGCTAGCATCGACTTCGTACCGAAATTTGATGGCATCATGAGGCCTAATTACACCATTGTAAGAACATTAATCAATATATTAATTCATTCCATAAAGTGACCATTTTCATTGGCCTTAATTGTCTTTACCTAATTTTATCTAAATTATTCTTTTGTTATTCTCGAATTTTTAAAGCACGGGGAGCCTCCTGGCGAATGGTCTCGGGCTATGTCCTCCACAGTTGCTACCACCTTATCAACCACAATGACAGCATCCAATCACCGAGCTCGGGTTTCCTCATTGACTCCACTCTGCGAGACAATCCAACCTGCTCGTTCGTCGGCCACCGTAGAACCCTGTAGTCACGCAAGTTCATCAGCGTCAACCACCGGTCTTAAGATTAAAATTCGTTTTGGAGCTGCAGCAAACGTTCAAATACCGACAGCTGTCAACTCTGATGATAACGATGATGATGATGCTAATGAGGAAGATGAGGAAGAAGACGATGAGTCTTCTGTCTCGACCACTTCCACTACACCGGGTAGTCCATATGCTGAGGCTGCGGGTCGGATCTACTACCGTCGGCTCCCTCCACTTCAGCCCTTGCCCACAGTTAGTTTAAAGTCAGGGCCGAATGCGGACCAGCATCATCATCGCCATCATCAACAACAGCAAGAGAAGATACCACGTGAACTTGTTGCACAGGGCTCATCAAGTATGACTAAGCCAGCTTCTCCTTCTCTGCTTACACTTAAATCTCCCCCACTGGTATCTACCTCTGGGTCCCTTCTTGGCTCGCATGTATGCAAGCAGACTGTGACTTCATCAGGCGGTTCAACAACGTCTAGTGGGCATTTGCCTCCATCTTTGCTACTGGCGGTCAAGGATCCTATGAATGGGAAACAAGAATCAAGCACGCCTTTCAGGTGACTACTATTTTATTATATTACTATCATAGAATAAATTTGTATTCATTAGAGATGGTCTGACCTCGTTTTCTCAACTTGGTTGTATTGTCAGGAAGACATAGTTGGGCGCACTTTATTCGAAGCTTTCTGCTATAGTACTTCTCATAAGTCCTAGTGCCGAACCGTGTACTTGGTAAATTCCCATTCCTTTTATTGAAGATACAAAAACCAAGATGGTGTGGCCTTTTTTGTGGTCGCAGTCTCCTTTCGTTGTATAGAAGTTGTTTA